ATAAAAACTATTAGGGATATAGAAGATTTAAACATCATAATTTGCATGTTTAATGGATATTCACAGAACCCTGCATTTAACAATTAAAATACATAATTTTTTTTCAGGCACACATGAAAAACTATTTTTGGGTTTTTTTTTTTGAGATAGGGTCTCACTATGTAGTTGAGACTGACCTGGAACTCACTATGTAGCCCAGGCTGGTCTCGAACTCACAGCGATCCTCCTACCTCAGCCTCCCGAGTGCTGGGATTACAGATGAAAAAGTATTTTTTAATCATTTTTCTCTAGGACCCAAGGCAAATATTTCAACAAAGAGTAAGTAATTAGTATCATATAAAAAAAGCTGTACTCAATGAAATTAAATGAGAAACAGTAATAGTGTTTTGATAAAAAAGATCCATATGGCCAAGCCCAAGTTTCTAAATGCCAACAACCAGTTCCACAGTCCCACAGAGAAGTGGTTATAGGAGTGGAAAATTCAAGATGAGCATTAAAGAAGAAAGAAAATGTTAAAGTAAATCAAAGCATCTGTCAAGATTGGCACATATCAAAAGGACAGAAAAGAAAACAACTTTAATGAGCAACCCTGACTAAATCTGAGCCAATCTGTGCATTAAAATAAGTAATAATGGCAACAGACTATTTGTGAAATAAAGGAAAAAGTTATATGTCTAAATAAATATATAGAGAAAAAGCTTTTCCTTATTAAAGTACAATGTAAACTATTATATGTAGTAAAAATGATAAAGTTTGATAGTTGTTATTTTGTACTCATCATAGTAATAATTATGCAGGCAAGAATTATCAAGTGATGCAAAAACTAATGGAAATAGTTTGATGAAGAACAAGATATCTACACAATTTCAAATTATTCTCAGTAAATTTAGTAACTACATAAACAAAAATAATAACTTAAGAGTGGGTTGACCCAGATAATACCCACCATTTCAAACAAGCAATCAAAGTTAACATTATTCCTAGTGTTTCAAATCATCATGTAGCACCAGAACAATACCCTGAAAACAAGTAACATTATTTGTGAGATATTCCTTTTAATATGCATAAGCAACATATGAAAATAAGGAAATAGCACAAAAATTTAAGTTGAGGAATATTCCAAAAAATAATTTTCCTAGAAATACTCATCAATGTCATGAAAGAAAAAGAAGAGTAAAAGAAATGTTCAAGAACAAGGACTGGAACCTCACCCCACAAAGAATGGCTGCTATCAAGTAATCACACAAAAACAAATGTTGGCAGGGTTGTGGGGAGAAAGGAACCCTTCTCCATTATTTGTGGGGGTGCAGACTGGTACAACCACTAGGGAAATCAATATGGAGATACCTCAAAGAGCTGGGACTAGAGGTTCCATGACTCAGCCATGCCATCCTCTGCTGGGTATCTTTCCAAACGAATTAAAAGAATCATATCACAGTGATATATGTGCACCTATGTTTGTAGCGGCACAGTTTTTAATAGCTAAAACTTGGAAACAGCCTATTTGCCCATCAGTTGGAAACTGGATAAAGAAGATGTGGTTTTTCTATAAAATGGAATACTACTCATCCATAAAGAGTGAGAAATTAGATTCATTCATAGGAAAATGGATACATATTGAGGATATACTCCTAAGTGAAATAAATAGGTCATACATGTGTAAATACCGAATAGTTTCTCCAGTGTGAAAAACTATAATAGTACATAAGAACCTAACGAGATAATTGACCATGTGAAATAGGAAGAAAGGGGCTAAAGGTGTAGGGAAAGTGGGAAGGGAAGGGTAGGGGAAAGCTAATAAGGGAAAAGAAAAAAATATGAGAAAATGAAAAAATGGAAATAAAGTGTTTGTAAATGGGGAGGGGAGGGGGGGTGAAGGGAGGGCAGGAACAAGGGGAAAAATGAGAACCAAGACCTGTCAAGATCCCAATAATGAATTTAACTGTACTGTATACCTAAAATCTACCAATAAACTCAATGACAGAAAAAAAAAGAATAAGTACTGGAAAAATATAAAAACTAAATGTAATGTATCATCCTGAACCATAACTTTAATTGAGAACAGAAAATAGTTTTTATAAAAGACACTGAGAAAAATTTGTGGAAATAAAATTGTGACATAAATAATAATATCACAATAATGTAAAGTGTCCTGATTTTCATACACGTACTGAGGTTATATAAGAGGAAATTATCATTCTGAGAAAATAGACAAGGAAGAATTAAGATAATATTAACATCTGTAAATTACTGTTAAATGGGTGAACAAATGAGGGACAAAAAAAGACAAAAGTAAAGCAAATGTGTCAAAATGTCAATTTGCAAACCCGAGAAACTGTATCTAGGAGAGTTCTTTTAACTATTCTCATGGTTCTTTAAGTGTAGAATTAAATCAAAACAAAATGTATAAAGACACTTCCTGAGGCAGGAGGATCGCTGTGAGTTCGAGACTGCCTGGGCTACATAGTGAGTTTCAGGTCAGCCTCAACTACATAGTGAGACCCTGTCTCAAAAAACCAAAGGGGAAAAAAAAAAGATACAAGCATAAAAATCAGCAATGTTGTTATCAATAAATACCATAACCATGCATTTCCTATGTATTTAATACAATTAAATGCTTTATATACTGTGAAATTTTATTGGGTTCAGCAGCCAATATGTAATTTTGTATTACAGTGAAAGATTAAAAAGCATTTTAAAATAGAAGATGAAGTTTAATTATAATTGGGCTAATGATTTTATAATATGATTTTTAAAAGAGGCTTACATATGTGAACATTCAAATAGTAACTCATAAGTCAAAGAAGAAATCATAAGAAAAATTAGAAAGTAATAAACATTTAATAATAAAAACATTCCATACAAAAAACATTTAAGAGACAACCTACATACAGAACAGGAAAAAAATAAACTTTGCCAGCTATTCCTCAGACACAGGACTAATATCTAGAAGATATAAAGAACTCAAAAAAATTACACCTCCAAAATGAAGACCCAATGGAAAAATGGGCAAGTAAAATGAATATACACTTCTCAGAAAAGTATAATTGATTCATAAATGTATGAAAAAATGCACATCCCTGGCCATTAGAGAAATGCAAATTAAAACAACAGTAAGATGTCATCTTATACCAGAAACAATAGCAATAATTAAGAAATCAAATAATAACAAACTCTGTCTACGAGGGCTGTGCTGAAAAAGAAATCCTTCTACATTGTGGGTGGGAATGTAAACTAGTATGACCATTATGAAAATCATTATGGAGAATTTTCCAAAAAATAAAAATAGAAGTTCCATTTGACTCAGCTATTCCCCTTCTAGATGTCTTCAAAAATGAGCTAAAGAAATGATATTACAGCAATACATGCATACATATGTTTATAGCAGCACAACTCATAATAGCTAAAACAGGGAAACATGCTATATGTGCATCTACAGTTAAATGGATAAAGAAAATGTGGTATCTATACACAATGGACTCCTATTTGGCTATAAAGAAGGATAAATTCAAGAAATTTGTAGGAAAATGTATACATCTTGAAAAAATAATGTTAAGTACAATATATCAGACACACAAGCTTAAATTCTGTGTGGTTCCTCACATTTGAATTATCCAAAGTACAAATGAACAACAAAATAAAAAACTGATAAAAGGAAACAGCTATGTCTTTTCAAATAGGACGGTAATCAATAGATGAAGGTTGGGGGAATGTATGAAGATTTAAGAAGCATCATGTACATGTACCAACTATTCACAATGAAAATAATCAATATATGCTCCAAACATGAACTAAAAAAATAAAAATCATCATGAAAATGCAGCAAGGGGATTTAGAGATGGAGGGAAGTGGGTGGTGAGGGAAAGGCGACTAAAAAAAAATCAAGATAGGTGAAGAACATATCCCTACTTCCGAACATGAATGTAAACATCATGTATTACAAACATATACAGTAGTAATAAAATACAAATTTTTTAAATGTGAAATTCTTCTAAAGTGGTAAAGGAAAATTTATATTCCTAAATTCTCATTTTTAAAAAGATAGAAAGTTAATGAACTAAAGGTCTAATTCAATGTTAGCAACAAAAAGAAACCAAGAAGAGAAATATAAAAGTAACTGGAAAAATTATTAAAATGGAAAACAAAGTATTCAATAGTAAGATCTGACAAAAGCAAAACCAATAAATATATTAGAAAATTGATTATTGTAACCTTTCACTCTCACACTGTTAAAGGAGAAAAATATGATTATGAAAATAGATACAAAGTATTTTTTGAAAAAAATCCCATACCTATTCCCCATAAAACTCAGACCAGGACTATAAAGGAACTTTCTTAACCTAAAAAAGAAAATCTACTTAAACAGAAGGTGAAACTAAAAAAATTCAAGATCAACACAAGGAAATGCTCTACTACTTTTATTTCTTCTTGTGCTGAAGCTTTTAGCTAGCACAGTAAGATATTCTTTTAAAAAGCAATAGAAAAAAAGGGGGCCATTTTTCAAAATTCAATTATCAGATAATCTTATAGAACATATAAATTATAAGAATGAATAAAATTTGAAAAGCTGCAATGTATAAAATCAATATATAAAAGTATCAATCATGTTCCAACTAAACAGCAAAAATTTTTAAATGTTGTTACAAAAAGTCATTTTACGGTAGCAGCAGAAACTATAAGGTAATTAGGAGTAACCCTAAAAAAAATGCCTGGCATGTTACATTAATATTATTAGGTGTATATGGTTTTCTATAATGTAGAAAATGGTTTCGATTTTATCACTGGTGCTAGCTTTCTGTTTTGTTTTTTTTTTACTTTGCCACCTATTTTAATGAGTCAAAATCAACTGTCATTCCCTGTTTGTTTGTGTGTTTGTTTTCCAGTACTGGGGATTGAACTCAGGACCTTGACCATGCGAGGCAGGTGCGTGGCCACTAAGCTAAATCCCAGCCCAACCGTCATTCCTTTTCTTCTTAATAAAATTTTAATAAAGAGATTACCTTAAAAATCACATCTTCCAGGTGCTAGACATCAGAAAAAGCAGGGTTACAGTGTAATTTATCCTTATTTTCATCACTGGATGAACTATTTTATGAATGCACCAAGGAAATGGAATCATACTGCAATCCCTTGAATACTGAAAAATAGTAAAATAATGTAAAATCATTTCTTATGTTATTGTAGATCCCTGGACTCTTCAGTTCCTTATGCCTCATTCTGTTCCCATGTCAACAGTTGTATGCATAGTATTAGAAGGAATGTATGGCATAGCAGTTTAAGCCATAAGACTCTGGAACCAATTGTTCTGAGTTCAAATCTCATCATAACCACTTAGTGCCACACAACTTGTAGCAAGTTAAACTTCCCTCAGCCTATATAAACTTCTTTACTGGAATTTTGTGGTTAAATAAACTAAAACATACAAAAGCCTTTAGAACAGTGGCACATAAAAACATCCTCAGTAAAAATTAGCTATTATTACAAGTTCCAGTGATTTGAATCACTAAGGTGAAATTATGTAGCTCCTACACTTCTTTCTCTACATAACCTCCCTCATTTTCTATCTGAACATTATTCTGACTAAGGCCTATATCTGCACATTTCCTTACTCTCATTAGAGGTAAAAATAAGGGAAGTAAGTCTTTATGGAATGACAAGATGTTTTCGAGTGAAACTGCGTTTCTTGTTTTTCTTTGCACTACCACCAAACCTGATGCTCAGAATGCCCATGGTTTCCAATCCCTGTCTTCAGTAATTCATTTACATAAATGTTTCATTCCTGCAATGTCCTAGCAACAAGCCTTGGAAATACATCCCCTACAATTCCCAGCGTGATACTTTTCCATTGCAAGGGCTCCATGAAAATTTCTTGTTATGAATGAAGAAAGAATGCCTTTCTACAACATTCGGGTAAAATTTGGTTTTATTTTTTTGCATTCTATAAATTTCATTTAAATAGGTGATTGTTTTTCTGGTAGTGAGAACTGATTCCTAAAATAAAATTAATATCACGTGCTTGAAAATCTTCTTTGGCTTACAGTTTATGGTATAAACTGCATAATATTTAAGGCTCTATGACATTCTATCTTCACCTCTTAATCCTTTTGACAGAGTCACAATTATAGCAGACTATTCCCATAAAAAGTCTTCTATGGGGCTTTTGTTCTGGAAACCACAGATCTAAAAAGCATTCCACCTCCCTCAATTTGGCAGATATCACTCACCCTTTAAAATCCACCCAAAGTTCCCTCTTCCTTTTTAATGGTTCATTATGGCACTTGAGTTTGATTATCATGTTGTAACTTTTCCTAAACTTATTAAACTCTCTTGCGTTATACAGAAGTACCTCTGAAGGCTCACTCTGTTAGCAGTTTTGGGCCTAGGCAGTAGGCCTTCAACACATTCTTTTCATTGCTCTTGAACTAGGCATTTTTAAATTGAACAATTTCAAATATATATGTAATTAGGGAGCAGTATAATAAATCTCCACTTATCCATCACCCAGTTTTATTTTATGAACTCATGAATATTCAACCTTAGCCCCATAGAATTACTTTCAATAAAAAACATGCAATCCTATTTATTAAAAAATTTAACATTAGTAGCATTTGAAATATTAAAATAAATACTTCTCTTAAATATCCGTCACTTCATCTAAACATGTTCTGTGAAAGAGCTGTTTAATGCTCATATGTTCTTTTTTCTATTTCGAAATTGTGGAAAGAACAGGGAAATGGAGAGAATGAGATCTGAAAAAATGTATAATTAAGTTTCAGAGAGCCTGGATTTCCTAGTTGAGAAAGAAAGAATCTGACCTGGTTTAGGGTAGGAAACTCCATGTATTTCACTACTTCTCCGGAGGAGGGTGAGACTTCAGACCGGCTGATGCAGGAGGAGGTGCGGGGGGGAGAGTGGCGTTACTCCCGTTGGGAGTTCCTTCTGGATAATCCCACCGCGGAGCAAGAAGGCAGCGCTTTTTTGGAGGCTTGGCTTCTCGCGTGCTCCCAGGTGGAAGCGTAGATCTCCCAGAGGAACAGGTCTGGTCTTCCATAAGTGAGATAGGACCTAGGCGTCAGTTTTCTCCACTGGGCCCCGGAAAATCAGAGACCTGAGATGGCGGCGGATCCCCTCCAGGCACAGAGCAGGCTTCCTCCGGGTTTCTCTCTTACCGTATTTCCTGTATCCTGAGACGTATATCCCCTCGCTGCCTCCACCCCTCTGCATACCCCACGCCCACCACCGCCCAGCACACCCCGTCCCATTTTAACGTTTCTACGACGATGAGACTTTTAAAAAACAATGCGTATATTTAATATAACGTTCTTTATAGCGTCCCGCCCACCAAGTGTAACTAAAGTCATCGCAATCATTATGTAATCTGTGCAAGAAATGTTTGCGAGAGTCAGGCAACCAAAGAAATTATTTAAGATCATTACAACCCTGTTGCAGATGCACATTATAGAGCCATGAAACTAGCTATAACCACTTAAAAAGCAATATACAAACCTGTTGACTAGCTGCCTAGAGTGCAAACTAGCTCCACTGATCATGGGAAATTGAATGTGTAAAATAAATTCACCATGTCATAGAATACAAAATCACTTTTGCATCATATTTTTAAATGTAAATAATTGAAAGCTAACTATTTTTTTTTCACATTTCAACATCTAGGAACTCTCTGAAACCTAACAATTGATAGCACTGCCTACTTTAACTGGCAACTTTTTTTTTCTTAAAGCTATGGAGAATAATGACTCATCTAACTATTGCTGGTATGTTATATTTTCTGGTATATGGTAAGTAACCAGAACAAAGTGCAATGCAACTTATTAAAAAAGGGTTCTGGTCGCTATCATCATTCAAATAGCCTGAATATTTATTCACCTTTTGCTGCTGGGACAAACTGGACCACACTTTTTCAGCACTACCCTCAGTGTTTCTTAACTTAGTTCAGTTCTTAATATCAACAGAGAACTTTTTCAAGAAGCTATGCTATCTAAAGCTGTGTGGTCTTTAACTAATTAAATTCTTAGAATTTGGGTTTCTGTTGCTTAATAATTTCTTCTTTATGAAGAAATTGCCATAATTAGGGGTAATACACTTAAATCACTATCATAAAAACTTATCATCACCATCATTATCCTCCTCCAAGTACAGAGCAATATTTTATACAAATTAGATACTCCATAAATATTTGAGAAATAAGTCACTTTGTGGTTTTATTTCAGATACTAATAATGATAACTGAAAATTCAGGTGTAGTAGCAGCTTAATGAAAAGATGTGAAGACATATTGAGAGAATACTTTCAGAGCTAGGAAAATAGTTGTTATTAGATATAATGACATGGACGTCAGAAACATAGAGGTAATAGCTGAAGTCATGAGTATGGGTAATATTTCCAAAAGAAAAATTAAAGATAAATGTGGTAAAAACAGAATCTTGAGAAGAGAAGGCTGAGGCAAAGGATCCATAAGAGGAGGATCACAAGTTTGAGCACAGCCTGGAAAATTTAGCAAGATCCTGTATTGGTATAAAATGAGCTTGGGACACAGCTCCATGCACAACCCTGAGTTCAGTCCCCAGCACTGGGGTACAAAAAGTGCCACATGGATCTAAATTGGAAATTTCCTGCTTCCCTGGGAAGAAGACTTGTAAGGAAAGGAAGGCCATGTGGTCTTTTGGGAGCAGTGCACTCATGGCTGTATATTAACTCAGGTAATCTTTGCATGGACTTTTGGAACACCAAAGAGTCTCTACTAGTGACCCTCAATTCTATTAAATTATAAAAAATGGTGGTGAAGCCCCCATGGTCCTATGCTACAAAGGTGCATCCCCATAAATAACAAACCAAGGAGGAGGTGTATCCACAGAACACTGATCCCACCAATAGCAATCAGTGAAAGAACAGGAAAAGAAGTGGAGTAATAGGAATAATAGGAGGAGAAGGAAGAAATAAAAGAGGGGGAGAAGAACCAGGAGTATCAGGTCAAATGGGATAAGGATAAAGAAAAGAAGTGGCACCCTTATGCTACCAGGGATGTATTTATGGATCAAGTTTAGGGGTCTTTCAGCGAGTGGTAGCCTACAGAAGAAATGAGAGGGCCACACAGGAAGAAAAGGGTGTGGCCACCTGCCTCCCTCCCTGGGGAAGGACACAATACTAAGAAGCCTCTTTTGAATGGAATATTTCCTAAATAGGATCACCCAGAGACCTTTAGGAACTACCAAAGGTAAAGGCAAGGTCTGAACCATCATCTTGCAAGGCCATCAGCTCACTGCAAACACCAGTGTCCCAAACACACACACACACACAAACACACCCCTATACCCCAAAGGCAAGTAACAAATAGACACAGCGGTAGGAGGTCAAGGTGAAATGGGCAGGAATGGGACTCAAAGGTGATGAGAATGGCACAGATTATGTTTAAGGCCCTATAGGACTTTTGCTATGGCTTCTCACCTGCCCAGTCCATAGAGGTCATTTTAATTCCCAAGGAAATAAGTTCATCCTCTTTACTGCTAATGTTACACCCCCCCCACTCTGCTACACCAGACCATCACCAAACAAGAACTGAAAGAAAAGAACTGGCAGTCAGGATGTGAAAGCAGGATAGGAACAGGTGAAAAATAAATAAATTACTGTAGTGAAGCAGAAAATATGAGCTAAAACTGAAATGTTCCATGTCCCAAACAGACAGTTGTTACCCAGAGTGGTATTCTATTCCCTTACAGAAAGGAACCCACTAGTCAGGGTGAAGTTATCAGGAGGCAAAGATTAAAACTTCTTCATACAGAAACCTGTTGTGCCAGGACTTCTCCTGCTTAGCTATCACAACCCCAACCCCAGGATAGAGAAGTGGGAAGACAGTCAGAAAAAGACCGGTGGGGTGGAGGAAGGATTGGGTGGGATAAGTGTGGAAGGGGGGATGAGTTTCATGCCCATTGAACTTCCCATGTGGGTAGTTTGTTTCGGAGTGTGGGTATGTTCATGCTAAGATGTGCTCTCCTGAGTATAAAGGGTGCATACAGGAGCCTGAGGACACTAGGTCACAAGGTGAACTCTAGAAAAGGTATGAAATGAGTGTAGCCTGTACTAAAGTATCTGCTGCTTGAATTGGACGTATGCTGTGGTAATCTGTAATAAGTCAGTGGCCTAACTTGTCTTCCAATTAGTAGTCTCAGTTTCCAAGTTGTAAAATGCACAGAAACCAGAGTACAGTTTGAAAACAAGATAGATGTATTTATGGCACTAACTCACTACCCCTTCCCCCTATGTATGACTTCCAATGCTAAAGCCCCTTTTTTCTAGCCTCTAACAGCACCTCCATCCCAATGGTGACATTACCCAATGGACCTGCACTTACTGATCATGACAGAAGAACTCGATCCTTTCTGTGTAGTAATGAAGCCTACCAGCCTGACTACCAATAGCTGTGCATAGGGAGACCCGTATCTCAACTTATGAGCCAGTGTATTTTTTTAGTGAGCGCACCAGTAGTTTTTCTTGGAAAGATTGCCTGCAAAATCCAAACCTGAAGTCCATCCACAATGCAGCACACAAATGAATGTCCAGTGAGGGAGGTAGCTGCAGGCCTTGAGGGCCCTTCCTGATTTCTGTGGCTTATTTCCTTCTGCTATATGTTTCAACGATTTCTGCAACTCTGTTACAACTGGTCTTTGACTCCTTCACTGCAAAAGAGTTTCTTACCCAGAGACAAATGAAGCTTCTACCTACCAGAGGCCAAGAGACATATGGCCTTCTAGGGGAATATACAAGTCCCTCTCCTTCACACCCACCAAGCAAGTGAGGCTGCTTGCAACATTCTGGTGGTCTGTGTTCAATGAGGAAATATCGAGAGGAATCCAAAAGGAAAGGGGGAGGGTAGAGTCTGGTTCATCTGGCAGGCGTGCCCCCGGAGTGGTTCCGAGTGGGAAATCTCTCTGAAAATAGGATTGGTACTCCAGAGGCTGTTATTGTTTTATGTTTTGTTTTCTGTTTCTGAAGACACAAAAGGAGGTGTAAGGAAAAGGTGAATATTGTATGTGGAGCCATCCTGTCTTCTAGAGGAAAGTGTCTGAAACGGCTATGCAGCAGGACCATTTGCCTTCTGCCATGTGCTTGACACAGGGGTTGCCAGGCATTGCTGGGCTGAGTGGACTGTGCACAAACCAGGGTTGTCCGCGTGAAGGTTCAGAGGGTCAGAGCAAATTCTGTGTACCCATGGGATATCCAGAAGGATTTGGAGACTCCAGGATTCCTGGAACAAAGCAGATAGCAATACCAATACCAGTCAGCCTAAGAGGTGGAACTTACCCATCAGCCATTTTGTGGTAGACCACAAAGGAACGCACTGGGTAGGGACTGCAGGCTCTGGAGCCGTTCTTTCTGGTGTCCTTTATAAGGAGTTGCTAGATGCCCCTGCCTGGAGAATGGATGACATGGCAATGATGGTTTCAATATTATAGACAGCTAAGTTAATGAGAAATTAACACTCACAGACTGAGCTTTCGAGGAAGTCAGCACAAAAATAAAGACATCAGAATTGTGGCTGAAGGCACATCTGAAGAAGACCAGGCCTATATGCTTCCCAAAGAGATAAACAGTAATTTGGAACTATGCTGAAATGCAGATGGGTGAGCAGAGTATCTGGATGCTTCCTTCCCAAAAATACCTTTGTTCTTTCCATGTATCCTTGCTATGTCACTTGTCTGCCTATTAGGTGAATATTGGATGTGACTATATTTGTCATCCATTAGGTTGATTGTAGTTTGACCTACATTGTACCTACATTGCGACTTTGCTGTATAAATTGTCCCTGAAAATGAGCCTCAGTGGCCACCCATCCAGGATCCCTCCTGGAAACCAAGGAAGTATTCTTCTTTCCTTATTTCCAATAAAACTCTCCTAATGTCTTCGTTGGTTCATGACTTCATTCCTCAATGTTGCAGGACCACAAATTCAGCACATTTGACATCTAACAGGTCAGGAGTTATATTTCTCCAATATCACCAACACCAGGAATATAGCAGCCAGAAGTACTAGGTGATGGGACTATTTCCCCGTAGCAGTTTCTGGCCACTGCCACTGATAATCATCTTGGGTCACCCTTAACCTGATATTGTTTTCCCAAGAGTTCGCCAGCATGGAAATATGGGTATCCTTTCCTCCCAGAA